CTGTGATTGCCTCTCCTGTATACAGAATTCACATTTGTGCAGTTGCTTTCCCCGTGGTATTTTCAGTGAGTCACTGGTGTGTCATTTGGCACTGAACTTGCTGACTTAATGGCATGAATTCTAAGAAATGGATTTTTTAGTATATAGGTTAAGTGAGGTTTTATGTTGGCAACTATGGCTTCCTCTGAGCTCAGAATTCTTTTGTTTTGCATAATTAAATGCCTTTTTAGTGTATCAGTACTATTGTCTATTGAAGACTAAAAATATCAGTAGGCTAAGTCTTTTGCTTCCTGATAGAATTTGTTAACCAGAAAAGCAATAAAATTTGGTTACATTTTGGGCTAGTCCTTTTTCTTTTGTTGCTATCCTTTAGTGAATGTACATATTGATTACTGTTGCATTTTGTTATCTTCATGTAGCATTTTACTGTTGAAACCATAAGGTTTATACTGCTAGAATGAAAAGTTCCCACAGTATCTTGAACTTTATCCAATAAGTTAAAAAAAAACAAAAAAACAAAACCAGCGCACTCTGTTTGCAGGTTCCTGGGTACAATTTGGAGATAATTCATTTAATTGTATTGATTGCTTAGGGAAAGCAGATTCACTTTTAAACAATAATAGAATCATTGAATTTTAGAGCTGAAAGAGACCTTAGACATCTTATGGTTGAACCCTCTCTTTTTATGACCAAAAAAACTAAGACCTACATTGGCAGAGAACATGAAAGCAAACTAAAATCTGAATTGTTCTGGTCCTAGTCCTGTTTGGTAATCTTTTCCCTGGTGTGGGGTGTTAGGTGGAGTGTGCAGTTGTGGTCCTTCATAGTCCTCACCAGTATCAACTCTTTCTGAACATTGATGTTTCTTGACACTTTCTTATAAGATTATTTCATGCCTTTTCATTCTTCTTATTACTTGCCCTTGCTTCTTTTTTCTGTACATCTCTTCCTCCACATCTAAATTAATCAGTGAATTCCCTGTTATCTTTTTATTTTCAGTTGCCTAATTCTGTAACTTCTCTGTTACGCACATAAACACACATATCTATTCCCCCTTATTCCCACAGTATTACAGACCCTCATAACCACCAGTATGCTCTTTCTACCTCCAATTTTTCTTCCCTTCCAGTCCATCCTTCATGCTTCTCCCATACTCTTCTTTCTTTTTCCGTACATCTGGTCATAGTCACTTAATAAGAACCCTGAAATTGCTATTCTTTATCAAAGTTCATACTCCTTAACCTAACAATCAAGACCCTTTACAATCTAATCTTACCTTCTCTCCAACTTTCTCAGGGTACTCTGTACCCACATGATGATGATGATGATGACGATGATGATGATAGTAATAACAAACATTTATATAATGCTTTAAAGTTTCCCAAATCATTTGTTTACACAATCTTATTTGATTTTCACAACAGTCCTGTAAGGTGAGTATTAAAAATGGATTTTAGCTGGGAAACATTCCACCAGTGCAAGTCACCTGCAGCTTATAGAGGTTGTCATTGAATTAAAGAGTTGGAAGGGAACTCAGTAGTCATGTAATCCAACCCCTACCATAAAAGGAATCACCTCTATAATGTACCCAATGAGTGGCATCCATCCTCTGTTTAAAGACTTCTCATGAAGGGTAGCTGATTACCTCTAAAAGGAATGCATTTTAGGATAGCAATAATTGTAAGGAATGTTTATATTTAGCACAAATTTGCTTCTCTGTGGCTTCTACCTGTTTCTCCTGGTTCTGCCCTCTGAGGCTGGGCAGAACAAGTCTAATCTTTCTTCTATGTGTTAGGCCTATAAATTTTGAGGCAACTATCATGCTCCCTCCTCCCAATGCCACACTCCCAAATCCTTTCTTCTTAGTTACACATCTCCAGTTCTCTCAAGAGATGTTCAAATGGCATGTACTCAAGGCCCTTTACCATTCTTTTTGTCCTCCTCTGGACTCTTAGCACTATTCCTGTTTGTAAGCACCCCAGCATTTAGAGACTCTGTCTTTAAAAAAGGCAAGAGTTTCTCTATATTGTGGCTCGAATTCTGCTTTGGTACAGGTGGGACTAGATTTTTGGCTCACATTAATATAGTGTTTTAAAGTTTACGAAGTAATGTACATCTCCTCATTTTAGTCTCTCAACTATCTTGCAAAGTTGGTGCTATAGGTATTATTCCTTTTTTACAGGTAGAGAAATGACCAGTCAGACTTCCTTAGGGCTACAGGGTGAGTAGGTATCTACTTACTCAGTACATTTAAACCCAGACCTTTCTGACTCTTAAGACCAGTGCTTAGTCCATCACATCAGGCTATCTTACCCCATCCAGGGAGAAGACTAGGATTAGTTTGCAATCTGGAAGAAATGTATGATTGAGTTTAAGAACCAAAACCAGAATCACCAAGTTAGCCATGTTTTAATCAACAGAACAAGGCTAGGAAACAAAAAAAGCAAGTATAGTACAGGAAGACAGAAAAGCAAATAGTACCAGAAAGGAAATTTTATGTAGGTGGCAGTATAATACCTTGAAGAAAATGCCGAGTTTGGAATCAGAAGACCTGAGTATGAATCCTAGCCCTGCTACTTACTGTCTTGAAACTTTGAGTAATTCATTTAATTTCTTTGTGCTCCAGTTTCCTTATCTGTAAAATGATGACTTAAAGTCAATTCCATCTCTAAATCTACGAATCATATTAACTCACTAGCCCTCTAGACTCTTTATCAAGTAAACATTGACCAATTTCCAGGGCTCATGAATTGGGATGAAGAGGTTTTTTGTAGGGTGGAAGTTCAGTTAATCATACTTGGTTTAGGGAACAAACTCAGAAGGCCAATTTAGGCAAACCCCACCTGATCAGGGACTTTCAGGAAGCAAGTGCGAAGAATAATATCAAAATGCCAACAGATCCTAATATAAACATGAATCTAATATATAATTGATTCAATTCCATGATATATAAATTTCATTAACTGTTTTGATATGGCATCTTAAGCTTTGCAAAATGCTTTAAATATATTATCTCATTTGAGTTGGCATGGTTTTAAAAAAAATAATGACTGGCAAATATGTTGTTTTTATTTCTCAGATTAAAAGCGCAGCCTTTTCATTGAGACCACATATCTAAGGCAATATAACTTAACTAGGAACAGATCTCCTAAGCGTGTACAAATAACAAAAGAGAAAATAATCTTGTGTTGGACCTATAAACCTAAATTTAGAAGGTCACAGAAACAAATATGAACCAAAAGTAAGGGGATAAATTGGTTCAGCATGTTCTTTTGTCTGTATTGTATATGTGTTGTGTGTGTAAAATTTGTTCAGAACAGTAGTAGCTTGGGAATGCTTTCAATTTATTTATGTTGTTAAATGTAATGAATATAATTTCAGTGTTTGGAAAGGAGTTCAGTGGTGTATTGGGAATAGAAAAATCAAACTTTTTCATTTTCTTTTATTTTATTGTTGTATGTTACATTAACCTGAAGGAAAGGATCTCAGACTGGTGGAGGCTTAACATGAATGAGAATGATCAGCCAGTCATGATTATTACTGGTTTTACATACATTTTCATTTCTGTGTACAACATACTATATTGGCAAAGTGGATAATGTCTGTAACAAGGATAAGTTAGCCATCTCTGATTATAATTCAGACAAGCTGATTAGCCTTGGTTTTTCCTTGATTACAAATAATTGTGATGACCATTAATAAATGAAATGGATATTTGTATTTCACAAATAAGTTTGAATTTTTAAGTGTTGAATTTATAAAAGAACTAAGCTTGGTTATTATTTTTTATGGAAACAATAGTGATTATAACCCAATACTAGGGAGTAGACAAGGTTGGTCTGTTCACCTAGGATATGCAGCTGAATGTTACTTTTTAATAAATCCCTATGTTTTAATGTTAAAAAATTCACCTTTGTACTGCATATATATTTATGATAAATTGGTTGATTTTCAAACCTTATAGCTACAGATATTTTATTATAGCTCTGCCTAAATCAGTATACAAAGTATTATTCAAATTAACATTTAATTTTGGGAATTTAAGTAAAAACAGAAGAACAATTCACTGTTTTCCTAATTATTTCCCAAAGTAGATAAATGCTAATATTGATACTAGTGAGTTGAGTTTCTATTAGCAACTGAGGAGTGAACAAGCAGTGAGCTAATTGCATAGATTATTAGGAGAATCATTATTTCAAGAAATAATAGAGTAGAAAACATGACTGTATTTGGAGTCAGAGAATTGAATCCTGAAACTTTTTCACTTAACTACTGGTGTGGATTTAGAGAAATGATACAGAGACTTTTCTGGGTCTTTTTCCTTATCTGTAAAACAAGGCACTTACAATATATTTGATTCTATTCTCTATTACTTGTATCTTTTTAGTATGATGAACATAAATTCTTAAAAGAGAGGAAGCAGCAGCCTACCATGCAAAATGGGTTTGATTCGTAATAGAATGTTAGGAAGGTGCTGGCTGGAAGCATTGAGAAGAATGACTGGTGGGAGGGGATATGATTAAAATGTTCCAATCTAGGTTCTTTCCCCAACAATATTTACTTACTTCTTGCAGGTGATTTGCTTTTCTGTATCCCAGAGGTGATCAGCACATAGAATATTGACTAAAGTAATTGGAAGATATTCTGGTATTTAGCAGCCTAATATCTTGACATTGAGAAAAAAGGTATCAGACTGAAAGATTGGTAATTATTATGTGCAATGATTACCAGCGTGTAAGAGAAAGTGCATACTGTAAAATACTTGCATTGCGTAATTCACAGGGAGAGGATAAAATTCATATAGATACTTTTCATTTAAATGTGATAATGATTGGTAGGACCAGGAGGATGATTTTATATCAGAAACCATTGCTTCCAAGAGAAGTATGGTTGCAGAAGCACTGGATTCTTAGTTAGGGAAGAGAAATCCTTCCTTTAGGGAGCAGGCAGGGATTTCCTATAATTGGAAAATGTGGTAAAATTTTAGATTTGTTTTACAGGTACTCTGAAAGAAGCCTCACAAAATGTATTGGGATCACCATTGAAACGCGACCAGATTATTGCCTGAAGAAGCATTTGAGTGATATGTTATCCTATGGCTGTACAAGACTGGAGATTGGAGTGCAAAGCGTTTATGAAGATGTAGCCAGAGATACCAACAGGTAAGATAGTGATTACCTCTGAAAGCTGGTATGTGGCAGTGGCATTTTATGCCAGTGCAATCCAGTGGTCCCCTGTAAAACGATATATTATTCAGTGCCTACAAACAGAATGTGAAAAAAAGTTGAGTACTTTAATTTTAAGTCAATTAAATGAAATATTGTCTTGAACACAAGAAGTAGCTAGGTGCATGGAGTAGATACAGTCTGAGACCTAGAATCTGGAAGAACTGAGTTTTCATCCAGCCACAGGCACTAGCTTTGTGACCCTGGGCAAGTTACTTATCTGTTTCAGTTTTCTTATCTGTAAAATGGGGATAATTTTATTATCTCCATTTCCCAGGGTTTTTGTGAAGATAAAATAATATTTGTAAAGCACTTTGATCACCCTTACTGTGCTCACCCTAGAATACATGCTGTTTCCACCATCAACTTTTGGAGTCCCTGGTTTCCTTCAAGATTCAGATCAAGTCAGGGCAGCTAGATAGAGCACCGACCCTGAAGTCAGGAGGACCTGAGTTCAAATATGACTTTAGACACATAACACTTGCTACTGTGTGACTCTGGACAAGTCACTTAACCCCAATTGCCTCACCAAAAAAAAAAAAAAAAAAGACTCAGATCAAGTCTAGTCAAGTCAACAAGTATTTATTAAATGCCTACTACGTGCCAGCAACTGTGTTAAGCCTCTTTAAGAGGCTTTTCTGGTCCCCAACTAACCACTGCCTTTTTCTACGTAAGGTTACTTTGTATCTGCTGTGGGTGTATTTTATATGTAACTATAAATGTATGTTTTGTTTTCCCTAAGGTCAGGTACTGTTTCATTTTTGTCTTTGTGTCCCATATGCTTGGCACACAGTAAGTACTTAATAAATGCTAGTTAATTGATAGATTTCCCCAATTCCACCTTGTTAGGTTTTATGGGGAATATGAAGCAACTCGAAAATAGTGTATCATGCTTAAGTGTGGAAGGTAATAGTACAAGAAGTAAAGTGCTCTAAGAATTCAGAAGAGAGGAAAGAGCATTGTGGCTTGTAGCATTTGGACAAATTGAGGCTTGAGCCAACCCTTGGAGAACAGATAGGATTTGGGTAGAGGTTAGTGTGGAGAACATGCCAAGTAGAGGGAAGCAGAATGAACAAAGACAAGATAAAAGTAGTTAGGGACATATGTGAAAGGCGGGAAGGAAATAGGCCTGACAGAAGCAGAAAGTTCATGTAGACTGTAATAAGAAATAAAGTTGAATATGTGTAGTGTGTACAGTTTGTACACTAGGCAGAGCAGTCCAGGCTGAATGTGGGCCTTGGATGACAGCAGTGTGGTGTGGCAGTCAACTCGGCATACTTGGAATCAGAAAACCTAATCTCAGTTTCTTAGTCTTCCACTAAAAATTTTGTAAATTTCTTAGACCCACTGAGCCTAAATTTCCTCATTTGTCAAATAGGAATAAAAACATTTAGTAGGTAGAATACTTGTAAATGAATGAGTGAGGATGCCAAACAGGAAAAGTGTTTATGTTGTAGAACTCTTCATTTCCTTCTTTTCCTCTCATCTTTTGTTCAGTATTGTTACTTTCTTTGGATATAAATTCAATCCAAATAGGTCTTTGACCTATGCCCCTGGCTAGTAGCTTGGTTTTTGGACCCCATGGCCTAAAGTGTGCTTTAAAAGGAAAAAAAAATTATTTGCTAGTGGGTACTCTTTAGTCACTTTGTCAGTAATATTTATTTAGTACACACTACTTTTGTGTTAAGAATTTTAGAGAAATACAATAGAAGAGGCATAAGATCCTTCCAGCTCAGAATGTCTTTGTGATAGTCAGAGCCACTACATAGATAAATGAATATATACACAAAACTCCACATAGTTTGAAGGCACACATAGCCAGGCCAAACTCTTATGGAAATTACCTCATTAAAATCTATTGCTTTTTCCCATAGAAACAACTAATTTCATATTTTAGGAGTTGCATTCTTGACCAAGAACTTGAAATAAAATCATTCATGGATATAACCAATGTATGAGTTAAATGCAACAATAAAAGAACTGTAAAATTCTGTAATAATTTTAAATATTTAAAGATGGTCCAGGTCCCATAAAAGCCCATAACATATTCAGGATACCCTGTTTATATACTAGCTATAATAAATATTTTACTAACAAAGTTTGTAGAGTAATTTGAATAGCCTAGGTCTATTAAAGTCATCTGGAGAGTTTGATTTGATTCCTCTTTTGCTCTTGATAAACTTTCCTGTAGCAAGCAGTGTTGCTTCTAGGTTTGTTAATTTGTAAATAGGCAGCTGTGCTTCCAGCTAGAAAGGGAGTTTACTCTGCTAATCAAATAAAAGTTTCAACATAGCCAATTTGACATTTAATAATATACAAAATGATCACTGTGCTGCATAATAATTAAGCATACATGAAAAACAGTTCACTTAATGTCTATAATTAACATTACTTTTATAAGCCCATTTTGTTGGGAGGTTCTCTTTTGTCAGTTCTCTGGTATTTTATATATAATTGGTGTCAGTATTGATAGTTTTCCTTGATACCATATACTGTCTTATCATTGTCACCCTATATGTTAACACTCATACACATTAAAAAACAAAGGTGCCACTGATTTGGTATTTATGCACATACTGTGTGGTTAGATTTTCATGTATGTATATTAATTATCCCCAACTAGATCTAAGCTCTTTGAGGACAGAGACTGTATCATAGTTCTTGTTTCCTCTATGACACCTGCTACAACAGAACAAAAGGGTGTGGATATAAAGACAATACCAAAGAAGACTTTGTGCTTATAAATCTCATGAAGTGGGAGAATTGTGGCAGATTTTAGAAGAAAATCATGATTTGGACATGTTTGTATCAAAGACCTGCCATCCAAGTGGAAATTTCTAGTAAACAGTTAGACTTCGATGAGCTCAGGTCAAGTCTGGAAATAAAGTCTTGGCGGCCAACTACATAAAGGTCAGAGTTGAAGCAGTGAAGGTACTTATGTTCCCCAAGGGAGGGCGTATAGAGAGAGACAGGTCCTGTGATAAAAACCTTGAGAGTACCCAAGGTTTATGAGATAGAAAAACCTTTCAGGTACATTAATGCCTACCATTCTGGAAAGCAACTTGAAATTTTGTTAAGAAAATTACTGAGATATATGCCCACCTTTGATCCAGAGATCCTACTGCTAGCATATTTCCTAAGGAGGTCAGTGATAAAAAGAAAGGATCCATAGACACCAAAATATTTACAGCAGCACTTTTTATAGTAACCAAGAACTAGAAATAAAAATAAAGACCCACAGATTGGGAACTGGCTAAACAAATTGTGATATATAAATATAATGGAATATTACTGTGATGTTAAAAGCAGTGAATGTCATGAACGTAGAGAAGTCCTGGGAAGACCTCTATGAACTGAAGCAAAGTGAAGTAATCAAAACCAGGAAAACCATGTACACAATTACTACAACAACGTAAATGGAAAAAACAACAAAGCAGTTGAAATTGAGTTCTGTTAAACTATAATGACAATGCTTGGGCCCAAAGCAGAGATAATGGCAATGTACCTCATTTCCCTCCACAGGGGTAAGAGATATGGAACATAAGCATATGATGTCAGACTTGGTTAATATGTTAGTTTTGCTGAACTGTTGTTGTTGTTTATTTTTTTCCCCTCCATACATAAAACTTTTATTCCAGTTAGGTTAACTTAATACAAGTGTTCTTAAAATTTATGCTTGTGTTGTTCATGAAAATTTCCTAAGACATTAAACAAAGCTAGCTATCATCTCAGGTTATTTCCTTGTTAACTATTTTTACAGCATATGCATGTTAGGCAATATCAAAAAAATCACAAAAGCAAAAAACCTAAAGTTAAATACATGGGTTTTTTGTTTTACTGCTGTACTTGATATACAGTGATTTTATGAATATCATTCAATTCATTTTCACTGCATCTTGTACCTTTATTCTTAGGTTGCCTAAACCATTTAAATATAAATAAAATGAGTGTAGCAAAAATAATGAAAGCAAACAGCAGGTGACTTTACAAATAATGGAATGTGAACCATTTCTGCCCTTCCCTAGAGTAAGTTGACTGGATTAAAACTTTATCTTCAGGAACACTTTTACAACTGCAGTCATAAAACTGTGCATATTGAGATTGTGTATTCCACATATACACATGGCATGACATATAATATCTATGGGACATCAGTTTCTACCACAGCCATGAATGCTCCAATCCTAAATTGCCCACAATAATTACACCTGTGACTGGAACCAATTATCCCTTTTTCCATCCACCATGACAGGCCAAGATATAGGCAGTTTTCTTTACTTAGACAAAGAAGCTGTTTAAACACTGGCATTATGAAATCACAATGTACCAAAAGTGCTATGTAAAACATGTTTAAAAATTCCACATCCCCATATTGGCTACCTCATATGAAAACAGATAACTCCCCAAATTTTAACTGACTCTATTCTCCTAATATTAAACATAAAAATCACATGGGAAATAAAAAAAAAATCCAAATAGAAGTAACATAAATCTGTCATAAATCATAGAGAAAATCTTTTTGTGAGACAGCATGAATGACAAATGGTCAACTGTGTAAATTTTAGAATGAGGCAGACAAAAGTTGGAAGGCTGGTTAATTCTCCCCTCCTTCTGCTTCAGTTTCATCTCCTTGGGTGTCCAGTGTCTACAATGTCAAATTGTCTCTCAGTGATTACGTTATTATGAGTAACTAGGTGGCACAGTGGATAGAGTGCTGGGCCTGGAGTCAAGAAGACCTGAGTTCAAATCTAGCCTCAGACTGGATTTGAACTACTTACTAGCTATGTGATCCTGGGCGAGTCACTTAACTCTGTTTGCCTCAGTTTCCTTATCTGTAAAATGAGCTGGAGAAAGAAATGACAAACCATTCCAGTACCTTTGCCAAGAAAATCTACATGGGATCATGAAGAGTAAGACACAACTGAAACAACTGAACAACAAGAAATTGCATTATTTAGTGTGCTGTCTTTGTACGATTCTTAACGTATCAAGTTCAGCAGTGGCTTCATCAGGAGCTGTTTTTGCAACTGAGCAGACTTTCTTTGGAGAGTTCAGGATCTCATAATAGAACACAAAGAAGCTCGATCAAGACCAGACCCATTCTTATAGGATGCACTGGTTGTATCTTTTTGCTGATTTCAGATGCTTCTAGATATGCTTGTTGCAATTGATCCACTATTCCATTATTATCATCACCAGCAACAAGCTCAGCCAAATAATGGTGGGGTCTCCTTTCATTTTGAAATAGAAAACTTTGCTTTCTGCTTGTGAAGCATTAAAAGACAAGAACTTTGGGACAGGTAGGTGGCGCAGTGGATAGAGCTCCCGCCTTGGAGTCAGGAGGACCTGAGTTCAAATATGACCCCAGACACTTGACACTTACTAGCTGTGTGACCCTGGGCAAGTCACTTAAGCCCAATTGCTTCACCAAAAAGCAAAAAAAGAATTAAGAATTTTTCCAATAGAGATATCTCAATTTTCTCTCTCTATTCTCAAGCCATCTGCTGTTTTTCTCAGCACCTTTTGTTCAGTACTTGAAATGACCCTCCAAAATGACCTTGGGCCCCTATGACATTTTTGTAAACAACCGTGAAGAGATTCTTCTCCTCATTGGATAATTCAACTCCTTGCTCAGTTATAGTCTTTATGCAGGCTGCCATGTCTTCATACTTCTCAGCCTGCTTGGCCAATTTGGCCTTCTGTACCAGCTCATTTTTGTCCATGACTAAATACTGTGCCAGGAGTGAGCAGTGGCAGCAGACAGCCAGCTGGGGTAAGGGGGAGAAGAAAGAGCTCAGTGACTTCTGGGCAGCAGCAGTGGCCACTGAACTGTTTTTTTTCTGCTTCTTTATACTTTGCTGTAAGTGATAACTCTTTCTAGTAGGAGATGGGGGAGTAATATATTTTTTCATTTAGGTTAAAAAAAAAGGCCTCAACTTTTTAAAAAATTAAAGAGTATGTTTATGTTCAGGATCAAGTTCATATTTAGTAACACTTTACAATTTGCAATTTACCAGATGCTTGCTTCACAGTAATTCTCAGAGGTAGTTAGTGTGTTATCTACATTTTACAGATAAGAAAACTGAAGCAGAGAGCCTAAGTTACATGCCTCCAGAGCTTAGTATTATAGTAGTATATAGCTAGTAATAGTATAGTAGTATTATAGCTACTTAGTCCTGACTCCAAATCCAATGGTATTTCCACTATACTATGCTTTCTAAGTGCATAAGAGAGGTAAGAATAATTATAACTGATAATCTATGTGGTGCTTTACAGTTTGCCACTCTCTTTACACACATTTTCTCATTTGAACCTTAGAGCAGCCTTCTGAGGCAGGTACTGGAGATATTGTTATCCCATTTTACAGAGGAGCAAACTGTGGCTCTGAGAGGTCAGGTAGTTTGTCCACAGTCACACTGTGTCATTGTGAAGTTTTGAACTTAGATCTTCCTGACTTAAGTCTAGCATTTTCTCCACTATGCTGTGCTGTTTCTCAAGCATTCTGTGAGAGTTCTAAGGAGAGAGAAGTCACCTGTGATTGAGAGGAACAGGAAAGGCTTTGGAAACAAGGTCACCTTTAAGCGAAGTTTTAGAGGCTGGGTAAGATTTCAACAGGTAGAAATTGTGGCATGTGGAATAGACGTTAAACAGTGTCTTATCCAGAATGGTTTAACTATGGACCTTTTTGAAGGCAAAAAGGTACAGCAAGTAATTATTTGAGTATTAAAGCTTTTCACACATATCCTTAAGAATCTTAGGTTCGGTCTTGCTGTAGTATATCCAAATGATTGTCTTGCCCTGTGTTATACTGTCATTCACTTGTTTGTATAAACAGTATATATTGTGCCTTTTGTTTCTCTAGGGGTCACACAGTAAAGGCAGTGTGTGAATCATTTCATCTCGCTAAGGATGCAGGTTTCAAAGTTGTGGCACATATGATGCCAGATTTGCCAAATGTGGGACTAGAAAGAGACATTGAACAGTTTACCGTGAGTATTCATTTAAATAATTTTAGACTTCATATCTTGTGTATCCTTTCTATTATTTGATATACTTTTGGAAATGGAATTGGAAATTTCATGAAAAAATGAAAATTGGAAATGTTGGCAGAGCTGTGGGATAAGTACACTCATAAGTTCTGACTTGTTCCAGCTGATCTGAATAAGAATTTTAAGTTATCCTAGAAAAGGCCCTAACCTATACAGTGTAGTATCCTTTGACATTATTTAAACACTTACTATGTTCCAGGCATTTGGCTAAGTGCTGGGGATATTTAAAAAAAAAAAAAAAGGTAAAAAGAGTCCCTGCTTTTAAGGAGCTTACTTTTAATGGAAAAGACAACATATATAAATCAGTACATACTATAAAACATAGAGGTCAAAAACAAGGGAAAGTCCTACGTATACAAGCATTTTTATTTTTTTTCCTGTGCTACCAAAGAATTAGAAGCAAAGTTTGGTGCCCATCAGTTGGGAAATGGTTGAACAAATTGTTCAATATGGATGTAGTGGAATATTATTATACCATAATAAAATAAGTATGTAAAATTCAGAAAAACTTGAAAATACTTGAATAAACTGATACAAAACAAAGTAAACAGAATCAAAAAGAATGATTTACACAATAACCACTATAATACAAAGGAAAATAATATTGAAATACATCATAACTCTAATGAGTGCAATAACTCATCCTGACTTTGTAAGCTCACAGGTTTAGAGCTAGATCAGGACTCAGAGACCATTTAGTCCAGACCCTCATTTTGCAGATTGACAGCTGAGACCCAGAGAGACTGAGTGACTTGTTTAAGGTCAAATGAGTAATAATTGGCAGGGCCAAGATCAAACATAGGTTCCCAGATTTCCACTTTCGGAACTCTTCCCAATGTACAAACCTGTCTTCCTTTAAAGAACTAATGGTTAGTCATGCCTCCCTTCTCTCAACAGAAAAGTGGTGAACTAAAGGTATGGAACAAAGTATACCTCAACAGATATTGCTAATGTATTTATTTGTTTTGCTGTATTTTACTCCATTACCAGGGAGAGTTCTATTTGAGAGAGAAGAATAATCATTAACAAGTAACAGTTGTATGTTTAAAAACATCAGCATAACTTTTTTGTTAAAGAAATTTATTTATTTATTTGTTTGTTTATTTTTGCTTTTTGGTGAGGCAATCAGGGTTAAGTGACTTGCCCAGGGTCACATAGCTAGTGTCGTGTCTGAGGTTGGATTTGAACTCAGGTCCTCCTGACTCCAAGGCCAGAGTTCTATCTATTGTGCCACCTCGCTGCCCCCATTAAAGAAATTTATTAAGGAAATAATGTTTCTTCCCATTAACAAGCAAAGAAAATGTTAGTTACAAATATATTTTGGGGAGGAAGGCTAAATAATATAATTCATTTGTTAAGCTACATGGGAAATTTCTTTTGCTATCTGCCTCATTAAGAAATGGAATTGTGTTTATATATGAAAGAAACTTTCAGATGTGGTGCTATACTTTTGTTAATATCTCTTTTCTTAGTTTTAAAAAGCTGTCTTTATTTAGAGCCAATGCACCCCCAAATAAAGAAACATTTACATAATGAAAATACGTCTCAGGCATCACTATTAGTAATTCCTCAAATAATGCCTCCATAATAATTTGTGGTTTTGAGTAGTAGTCCCAGGTATTTGAACAACAGGACTATTAACACCTAAAGCATAGTTTTCATTAGCAGAACTCCTGGGAACATCAATAACAGTCAGTGCTCTAAGGGCCCTATTAAAAGAATATAGTGTGTTCCAAATAATAGCAAATAGCCTAATCTCAATTAATTATTCTTAGTATCCAAGGAGAAAGGTTATTTCACCAGTGTGTCTTGCAGATAGTCTCTTTACATAAGCAGATTTATTTATCTGCTTGTTTGTGATCTTCTCAGTCCACAGGGAATATTGGCAGACCTATCTCATTTCTAACTACATCTCAGCAGTTGAATGGTAAAGAGCTAAAATGGAAACTCTGATTTATCCCTAGAGAATAATACTCTCCAAGTTAATGGTTTCATTTCCTCTATAAAATTTTTAGTTAGATAATAACATTGTTCAGGCCCAGTAGAATTCAGAACCTCTTTTCCAACTTCTGAGTGACTTCAGTTTGTACTCTAAATCCTGCTTACTATTTGTTCCTCAGTTTCTTTCATGTAACACCTGGCTCCTAATTAGCAGCATCCAGGTCTTTCTAGATTTAACTTTACTCCAAAAATAGAGTGGCTGAGTCAGAAGTCTACCAGTCTGATTACAAAGACTCTGTTGATATCTTGCCTTTGGACAGAATCAGGACCACTCTCATAGGCTGTCATCTTTTCTCGCTGAAAACAGGTCCATTTTAGAGCCCTACTCCCCACCCCCACCCCCAGTGGGGAGACTGGCAAAGGGCAAGAGATTAGGGTCTGTATTGAATAATCTATATCTATATTTCCATAAATTGCTTAATCATTATGAAAGAAGAAATTAAAATTTAACATAGATTCCTTAGTGGAACAGGAAAGAGATAGTTCTCTGGTTGGTTCTCTGCATCATTCTCAAGATCTCTCATCATGTATAATTTGGGTCAGAACAATTCAGAAGAAGAAGAATTATTTAGTAACCTCTCATGTGTGAAATTTCTCACTGTGGGCTCTTTACCTCATATTCCCCTGGTTTAATTAAAAAAAAAAACCAAACACTGGACTGGAAGTCAGGAGATCTGAATTGTAGTCTCAGTTCTGCCATGATAGTATTTGAGATCTAGAGCTACCAGGGACTTATAGAGAAACTGAGACTTGGAGTGGATAAATGACTTGCCCAAGGTCTTATGGCTCTAAATCCAGTACCCTTTCCATTACAGATTCTAACCTCAAAGAACTCATATTCCACTTGGAAGATATAGCATATACTCAGATAAGTAAATGTATAATAATTTGAGGAAGAAGGGATCCAAAAAGGCTTTGCATACAAGGTAGCAACTGAGCTTTGATTTAAAAGAAGATGAAGGTCTTGAGAGGAAAAGATGATGGGGGGAGTACATTCTAGTCACAGGGCAAATCCTGTGTAAAGACACATAGTATGCATTAGAATGCCAAAATGCAAGAGTAACTAGTAATCCAATTTGACTGGGACTTAGAGTGTATGAACTAATATAAAGACTGGGAAGGCCATAGGGGACTTTAAATGCCAGACTGAGAGGGTTGTGTTTTATACTAGAGATGTGAGAGAGCTACTGAGATTTTTGATTAGGTAAGTGGCATAGTTAGACCTGTCTGTGCCTATGTAGGTTCTGTTGGCATCTGTATGAAATACAGACTGAAAAGGGGGAGAGACTGAAAGAAGACAGACCGATTAGGAGGTACAGAATCCCCTGTCCTTAAATAACCCTCACTATATCCTACTCTCCCCTCAGGCTGTCATCTTATATCTCTCCTCCTCTTCACCACCAAACTCCTTGAAAAACTTTCTCCACTCAGTGCTTCTACTTCCTCTGCTCTCCACCTCTTCTAAACCCTTTGCAATCTGGTTTCCAACCTCTCACTCAACTGAAACTAATTACTCCAAAGTTATTAGTGGTCTCTTAATTGACAAATCCATGGCCTTTTCTCATTTCTGATCCTTCTTGACCTTTCTGCATCCTTTCACATTGTTGATCATCCTCTCCTGAATACTTTCTCCTCTTAGGATTTTCCTGATACTGCTCTTTCTTGGTTCTCTTCCTACCTAAGACCATTCCTTAGTCTCCTTTGCTGCATCATCATCCATTTCATATCCTCTAACACTGGATCTTTAGCACGGCTCTCTCTTTGGCTCTTTTCTCTTTCTGCGCTTTCAGGGACATTGTTGCTTCTGTGGGTTTAACTATCATCTCGATGTGGATGACTTCCAGATCGATGTTTTCAGTTCTAGTTTTTCTCTTGAAAGATTGGGATTGAGTAGTTAAAAGATAACGGATATCCATGGAAAAGAGCAGTTGTAATAAATATAGTACGATAATTTGAGCATAGAGCTAAATCAAATGAAGGTTTTTTAAGGATAAGGAGATCTAGATATGTTTTAGGTAGGAAAGAAGGAGCCTATTGATTGAAAAGGATTGATTTGAAAGACACTGATCTAAGGGGTAAGCTCTCAAAGGAGACAAAAGAGAATAGGATGATTTAAATGTGGGAGCAAGTAAAAAGAACAATAAGGTTTTCCATCTAGATTCTTGCCTGTGTGTGAAATCTATGAGTTTGGCAGCTAAAGGAGAAATGTAAAGTATACGAAGAGACAATATTCATCAACTGCAAGACAGTTATTTGTGTACCTACTTTAAAAAGGCCTTTTGATTCAGCAAAATTCATTCTGGTAATAAAAACTTTGGGTGACATTGGGCTCAACCTCATATAAATAGATCTGTTGGCAGAAATGAGCAGGGTTTGTACAGTAGAAGTTCTGCTTCTCCAGAATCCACATAATTTTTACAAGAGAAAAGGAGTAAACTAGAATAACACAGTCTCCATAAGAATATTTACACAAATATTGGTTATGGGGTTTCAAAATGATAGTATAGGAAACTGTCATCAGGAGACTGACACATTTGCTCTTTGCAGACAACTGCATAACATTTGCCAAAGACCTTATAGATTGGGAACGTAAAATATAACAGCTACAAAGAAAACTGTGTATAGTTTACTAGAGGTGAATTTCTCTAAGGCCAAGTGGATATACAATGAATCTTGAGATGAAAGATGTTTCAAAATCAACAAGAGAGAAATCGAAGAAGTCAATAGTTACATGTACTTGGAGGTACAATGGAAATACCATTAAAGGAAGATGCAATAGATGAAAAAGGCATCCTGAGCAAAAAATTAAAAAAAATCACCGTTGTGTTGGACAATCATTGATTCAAAGGAGAACTACTCAAAGATTGTGATTCTTCCATTACACATGATGCAAAACAAGAGCAGATTATAGTCAAAAAAGGAGGGGAAAGATACTAGTG